TTGGGTTCAACATAGATCAAAGCAACTCATGACTACTACTACTACTGATACAAATGTTGTGACCGAGCTCACTCCGTAGGCAATAGTTTTACTCATAGCTCTGTACTATATAATGTCCGACAAGATAAAATGTGCCGCATCTGGACTTTCTTGCGAGTGCAGTAAAATATGAACAGCTATCTGGCTGCTCCATTTTGGCGGCTCGTTTCTCGACGCTTATTTCTCGGAAGGCATGCTCCTCAGAGATCGTGGAGATGTTGCCTCGCCTTACCTCCACTGTGGAGATGGCACTCGCCACAGCCGATAGGGAGACGGCCGTGGCTGAAGCCGCAGCGGGTTAAGCGTAGGCACAGCTCGCTGGTAAGGCATTGTCATTACCGTATCTTTTTGTTTTGTGTGGCACCGCATCTTATTAATTGGTAGGGTTTTCTTCGTTCTTTCTCTTTCAGCCATCATGGAGCAGCTGAACGCCACATCCGTGCTGCCGGTGGGGCCGAACTTCTTTGAGCGCGTCCGTGCTCTATCAGCACGGATCCCAGAGGTAGTGACAGATGGCATTCGCCACGGGGCTGCATTGGCCCTGGCCGCTGCCCACCTCCATTCAGACACGGACTTGCGTGCGGTGGAGCCGGGGTTCCCACTGGAGCTGCCGGTCCAAAGGGCTTCACATGATTTTTTCCTATAGGATTTGGATCCTTCAAAATTCTTGTTTCTCCACCATTCCAAAGGAGCCATAAGTTTTTGAGTTTCTTTTGTCCATTTCTCAGGATTTTATTTTGTAGTGTTTGTGGGCCCCGAACATACAGGGAGATCTGCCCACGTGAAAATTTGATTTTCGATGAAAATTTCGCATCGCGCCGAGCGGTGCCGCCAACACGCACCGAAAATTAGATGTCTCCCTTTTGCCCTCCATGCGGAAATTAGGTTTACCATGCCATCGATTTTAGACAAGGGCATTTGTGGTACTGTGATGGCCACATAAAAGCGCAAGGAGTCACCGTATCCTCCTCCACCTCCATCTCCATCCTCCAGCAGTCACTGTCTCACCTCCCATTCCAAATCCTAGCCCCATGGCCTCCCTCTCCACTCTCCAGCCTTTCCCTTTGCCATCCCTCTCCGGACCCTAGGCGCCATCAGTACAATAGCTCAACTCATCAATCTACACTATCCAGCCGCACCCTCTCTCATAGCTTTCTGAACCCTAGCCGTAGCCAGATCCCCTTCGATTCATCGACACCAGGTCAGCTGACAGCGGAAGGACTACCTCGACGATGGTATAGGCCAGATCCGGATCCCCTACTTCAGCACCTATCACGACCAGCTGGATCCAAACCCTAGCTAGAGCCAGATCTGGTACCCCTTCATCAATGCCGACCGTACCAGTTCCACGACCACGATGACAAGGCAGTTGTGCCGACGATGAAGCGTAGCTAGGGTACGCGGAGGAAGAGGTACCCAAATTCCTTTTATGATGTGTGCTGTATTGTAGTTGTTCAACCTTGGATATGTAGATAGCGATGTGGTTGTATATTTCCTATAGTTGAGTGTAGCTGACATGTGCTTTATTAGATTAATGACTTCCGTATAAGCTATAGTTACTAGTTAGGCACTTATTTGCATACTCTTGCTCTCTGTTGTGTTGACATTCGCTAGAAGCTTTAGTTAATGAATACCTTTGTAATCTAGATGAATAGCCACTAAATGCTTTGAATGAGAGCAGGAGGCACAAGTCACAAAGAATCATAGGAAGATGGAATAACCAGGAGTGGTTGTTGAGAGATTTGGTGATACAGATGAAACATATTCAGATTCCAATTTTAGCGTCCGGTTCGAAGAAGCAACAGTGGAGGCTCTACTAGCAGGACAAAAGGCAGCGCTAATATTAGTCCTAGAGAAAGGCAGTCCAAGAGAGTGAAGTCAACACGACCTGGAGAGTTGACTCATGGATCTGAGAAGAACAAACAAAATCATGCAAAAGTGAAGTACCACCAGGCTACAGGATCTTGCTCCTATGTTGTACAGCTACAATCATTTGTAAGTGATGGTTGTGTTTTATTGTTACTCTAGCCTTTGTATAAACAGAAACTCATGTGCACTGTTAATAGAAGCAATAGTGGCAGGAGCCTAAGGCCCTCTTTGGAATGCAGGATCGGAAAAACGTAGCAACAGGAAAAATACAGGAATATGATTGGAATGCATGTGAAAAATAGAGGATTTTTGTTAGAAGGGGTGTTTAGTTTTGTATAGGAAAACACATAGGAAACCAATACAATGAGGTTTCACTGGATGTTTTTTCCTTTGTTTTTTCTATGAAAGTTGAAGGATATGAAACTTTCCTATAGTTTTCCTTCCCCCATTTCTTCCTGTGAACCCAAGGCCTCTATGGTGCTGATTCCATAGGATTACTGATTCCTACATTTTTTTGGAAATCCTATGAACCAAAGGCGCCCTAAATTTGACATCATCATTTAATTTTGAAGTTGCAATACCTGTGTATTGTGCTTATGTAATCTATATCTGTAACCTATTATTTACTGCTTGAATTTCGCAGTATGTAATCCATATCAATACCTGTGCGTTGTGCTTATGTAATCCATATCAATATGAAACCTGCGTTACTTATTATGACATAATCTCTTGGGTTTTCAATTAAAGTCATCTTCTACTATCTGAAACCTAATGTTTACGGCTTGAATTTCACAGGAAGCTATGGAAACTATGCGAGCAGAACCTGTTGATGATGGGCACGAACCAATGACAAGTGCTGATGTTGTTCCCATGGTTCTTTGCCTCTCCCTTGGCTAGGTCCACTCCCAGGTCAGCGGCAACACCCTTTTTTTTTGAAAATGCTGGTATCCCGACAAGCTCCGTTAGAACAGAGACATCAGCGGAGAGAATATTTTGGGAACAACTTATTGCTAAATAGAAAAGTTCCGCTAACCTCGTCGAATAAGTGGATGAACTGAAGAGGAAGACAAAAAAGACTAAAAGGGAGTTCGAGGAGTTCAAAATACAGCAACAGGAGAAGTACAATAAGCTACATGAGGATATCATACGTTTCAGCTCTTCTTCTGGTAACTCTCAGTCGTAAACTCTGTTGGCTTGATGCAGTGAACTTTTGTGGTTTGATGTGTGTACTCATGTTCTGGTTTGATGTGGTGAAACTGTTAGTGGGTTGCTGCTGATGTGTAAACAGTAATTTGTTGTTTTTGATTGTCATGCTGAATAATTATGTAGACATCATCGAATAATTATGTAGTCAATCTGTGCAGCAGTGACGATCTTGAATTACTTTTATGATGAATTGATTGTTGGGAATGTGGTAGAACCTGGGCAGGTCACGTGATCAAAGAAAAATGCGACACGTGGATGAACCAGTGCATGACACGTGAAATAGCCATGGCACGACACGTGGACTAATAAAAATCTAACACGTGGAAGAAAGTCATCAAACCACGTGGCCGAATAAAAAAAACAAAACGTGGACGGACAACACCATGACACGTGGTCAAATAAGAAACGGCTACGTGGACCAATAAAAATACGACACATGGTCCAATGAAGAAATGATACATGACCCAACCTCTACATGACACGTGTGCCAATAGAAAACTGACATGTGGAACAACAGGGGCCCGACACGTGGTCCATTAAGAACCTGAAACGTGCAAGAAGCAGAGATGGCCACGTTATCCAATAACAAGGTGACATGTACCCGAACCATCTCCAATGCAACCGGCTATAGCTGGTACATGTGGAAAGCATCTCCAACGGAAGCAACAGCTAGCGTGGCTACCCCTCTTCCAAGCATGCCAAAATAGTTCTATGACGGTCAGTTTTCGTCATAGATCTATCCACTTCTATGATGATTTTCTAGATTCGTCATAGAAGTTTAAGAATGACGTGACTTCTATGAGAATCGTTTTTCCTCATAAATTCGTCATAAAACTGAAATTATGACAAATTTGGCTCCATTAATGACGAAAGCTGTTCGTCATAGAAGTGGATAGTCCTAGTAGTGAAATGATGATTTAAAGAGTGATATTTAGAAAGGCTCCTGGAGATGCTCTAAGAGTTTGACTTATCTTGACTTGCTATTTACTTACTACATTAGGCCTCTATATTGTGCTTGATTTGTGTGGCATTGACCTTTTATTAATTGGCACAAGAGTCAATAGGTTGAAAAAGTCTTTGTGGGTGTAGGTAGGTAGAGTACACTAGAAAAACTTATGGTGCATATCTTGCTATACTAGTTTATATTTTTTCTAGTGAAATTCAAATAGACCCCCAAGTTCCAATCACTAGTGGCAACCTCCAAGGGAACCTCTAAGAGTAATAAGCTCTCAAGCTTGCAAACCGGTCACTAGTGCCACTAGCTACTATCTCTCTTAAGTAAATGCACTAAGATCACTTCAGCCAAATATTACCAATCAAGTATATGCTATCTCTCACTGATTCAACCGGTAACATATATTGCCAGGCATTATATTTCAGAAATTGTTTAGCACAATCAAAACAGGATGGTTGAAGTAGCAACATGGTAAAAAAGTCTATCCAATGGGCTGGGATGGGATATATAGGCCCCGTTAGCTTCACTAAAAAAATAAGCCGAAACACTGTTCCGGCTGATTTGTTGTGAGAAAAAAACACTGTTTCGGCTGAAAAAACAAGCTGAAAAATACGGATTATAAGATAAACGAACAGGGCCATAGTAAAATTTTCCCTGCCAGGATTCATGCATTAATACAAAATAGTAAATTTGTAGATTGTATGATGTTCATTATTACAATATGTTTAAGATGCCAAGATTTTCCACTTGGACTTCACAACAAGAGTGAAAATAAAGAGGCCAAAGCCGAGGAAATTACATAAACATGCATACTGAGAAAAGAAGCTGTCAGTTTTCAGCATTTCCATCCAAAACTGACAAAACGCCACCATCCGGAAGCTGTGATTATTATTGCCGTGCAGTACTCTGCAGGTGAGTGAAGGGAAGCGGCCTAGCCGGTGTTCTGCATGCCGGCGGCGATACCCTTCATGGTGAGGATAAGCGTGTCTTCCAGCCCGGGCGGGTACTCGCTCGCCGGGTTGAGCTTCACCAGTCCGGCGGGCTTGTTCTCGTCGGCGAACTCCTTGGACAGTGGCGGCTGCGGTGTCACCTTGAAGCTGGGGTCCCTTATCCGCTTCAGCGTGTAGGCCTGCAACACGTTCAGGGTGGTGATGTAGGGATTGCGCAGCCGCAGCCCCTGCTTCAGGTAAGGATCGCCTTCAAGAATATCCTTGTGCCCAGCGATCTGCACAAAACAGGACAGTACATACGTATTGATGGATCGAGTAGTCATGAGGAACTAGACTTTCATTTATATATCGTGCATTGCAGTGCAGTGCATGAATATCTATCATTTCTGTGAATTAACTTGTTGGTTTTGGTACCTGTAGGAGAAGCTGCTCTGTCTCCACGTATTTGTCCCTGAGCTGTTTCCCAAAGGGCTTGAGATCGTCGGTGACAAGCAGCAAGTCATACAAGCCGGCAATGCCAGGATCTCCCTTTGCGAAAACCATCTCCAGCAGGTCCAGGGTGACCCTGAAGAATGGCCACTCGTTGTACATCTCTTTGAGCTTCTGGAAGTTCTTGATGTCCTTGTCGATGGCCCACTTGAAGGCGGCGCCGACTCCCAGCCACACGGGGAGGTGGAACCTCGTCTGGGTCCACGAGAAGATCCAGGGGATGGCGCGCAGGGTCGTGATGCCGCCGCCCGGCTTCCTCTTGGCTGGGCGGCTGCCGATGTTCATCTTCCCGTACTCAGTCTCAGGGGTAGCCTGACAGACACGAATGAATTAATGACGACATGGATGAATTCGATCTTCACCAAACATCAAACAAATATATATATAATGGCATATACGGAGTATATATATTTACCGATCGGAAGTACTCGACGAATCTCGGCTCCTTGACGACGACGGAGCGGTACTCCTCCGTGGCCACGACTGCCATCTCTTCCATGAGCTTGCGCCACTCGGGCTTGGGAGACACCGGCGGGTGCATGCCGTGCTCCAGCGTGGCGGCCGTGAACCGCTGCAGAGACTGGAAACACAGGTTCTCCTCCCCGAACATGAACTCGATGACCTCGCCCTGCACCGTCACGCGGATGGACCCGTTGATGGTGTCCGGAGGCTGGGACAGGATGGCCAGGTGCGTCGGCCCGCCACCCCTGCCCACGGTGCCGCCGCGGCCGTGGAACAAGGTCAGCTTCACGCCGTATTTCTTGGCCACCTTGGCCATCTCCTCCTGCGCCACGTACAGCTGCCACGCCGCGGACAGGCGGCCGGCGTCCTTGCCGGAGTCGGAGTACCCGACCATCACCTGCTGCTTGCCCTTGATGTGGTCGAAGTACCAGTCCGTCGAGAAGAGCCGCTCCACGGACGCGGGCGCCGCCTGCAGGTCGGCCAGCCTCTCGAACAGCGGCACCACGGGCAGCGTCTGGCGAATGCCACACTCGCGCTGCAGGAGCTCCACGGCCAGCACGTCCGAGGGGGCCGTGCACATGGAGATGATGTAGGGGCCGAAGCTGTCGGAGGGGAGCTCCGCGAGGACGTGCATCGCGCCGATGACGTCGGCGATCTCCTCGGTCATGGGAAGGTCCGGGGGCAGCAGCGGGCGCTTGCCTTTCAGCTCCTTCACCAGCCACTCCATCCGCTTGTCCTCGGGCCACGAGCGGTACGACCCGATGCCGAGGTGCGTGGTGATGGCGTCGATCACGTCGGTGTGCCGCTCCGACTCCTGCCGAATGTCCAGCTTCACCAGGGCCAGCCCGAACGTGAAGACCTGGCGCAGGAGGTCCAGGAGGCTCCCGTCCGCGATGGCCTTGTCGCCGCAGTCACACAGTGATTTGTAGCACAGCTCAAGGGGCTCAAGGAACTGCATGCATGAGATGCATTTGTGCGACAGTAATAATCAGACCTTAATATACGTCATATTATTGATTGATCGCTTAAATCACACTTCAATTTCACAAAGGAATTAAGGAACATGCCGATTTACCTCTTCGATTTTGGTAAATACCGAGTCCTCAGAAATTTCAGAAAATCCAGTTGCCAGCAGATGGCGTGCACGCTCGCGTGTGTTGTATAACTTGTCCCTTACAGCACCAAGGATCACCCGGTAGGGCTCGTTTGGAGGAATTTGCTTCCAGAATTCTGCGCCAGCATCAAATACTCTTCAGAAAAATTTGCAAACTGACCCGGCTGACACGGGGCAACATTATTCAAATCAAATTTGAAAATACTAGTGGAGACTTTGCAAAAGCCTGTGCGGCGTGCACGTAACCAGAATCTGCAACTTGTCCAAGTGACGTGGGTTCTCCTAGTGTTTTATCATTTAATATTTATTATACACTTTTCTTACTAAATACCTCCTAGTGAGGATTCTAATGTGCTATGATTAGTGGTAGTGTTTTTATTACTACTTCAAAACCCTATGAGAACTCTACCATTTTGGTAGTGGCGGCAGACAAATCTATGAGGAGGTACCAACAAGCAAACATAGCTAAACAATAATCTGCATCTCTAAAAACGCTTACTAGCTAATTCAGTCTCTTTAAATTAATAAAAAAAAATTCTTGTGTTTGTAGTTACCTATGTAATACTTGGTAACTTTCTTTGAAGCTGGAGTACTCTGGAGTTCTTCGGCTCGAGCACGAAGCTCATCATTGCAGCGCCACATAGAGAGCTAGAGATATATATCAGATGAGAGTATTGTTATGGATCGGAGGCAAAAAATGAGCATTACAAAGCATTCAATCAAACACATTTGTACAGTACCTCAAACATCAGGTCTTCGACCTGATTGATGTACAAGTTTGCAGCCATCATTCTGGACAGCAAGCATACATCTCTTGTCACCTCCGGAGTAACTCTTGGATTTCCTACAGTGACAGAAATGCAAAGATATACAGACTTAAAAACATCAAACATTATCATCAATACTATAGAACATTATAGTATTAATAAAATAGAATGACACCATCTAGTATATTTTTTTTTTGGAGAAAACAAAGTTGGGCTCGATATTGACAGGACAAGTGTTGTAAAGTAAAAATATGAATATGGATGATATAAATCAGTCCCTTGCAAACAAAATAATTAACAAGTTTATGATAATTGGATATAGACTACAAAGTCTCTATTATGTCTATTTTAGAAAATAAAAAAAAGAAAACATATTATTTAATATAAATAATTCTTTATTAGTCAGATGTATTAAACAATATATAACTTAAAATTCTAGCCCGTGCGAGAGCACGGGTTGATGAACTAGTTTATCTAAACATCTATTATAGCCAAACTAAGTGGGAATGTTTCTATCTTAATTGAAAGATAGAGAGCTCCTGCCTCTTTGTTAAAAAAAGAGTAAGTGTGGAAATGTACCATCACGGTCACCACCCATCCAAGAACAAAACTTAATGAGAGGAACATTGTAGGGAAGGCGCTCATTGATGCCAATATTCTTCAGGGCTGTATCCACACGGCGCAAAAACTTAGGCACACCGTTCCATACAGTTTCATGGATGTAGCTCATCCCATAGCGCATTTCATCCTGTGGGGTGGGTTGTGCTCTCCGGATTTCATCAGTTCTGAAAGCTGCTTGGATCTGTGAACATCCAACAAAACGAATTAGAACTAAACAACCCAAACAACAAAAAATACCATAATGATGGCTTGAAGCAGTAACCTTCTCAAGTGGACATATATAAATAGACAGATATAGTGAAGGTAACGACAGAATTTAATCTCTATTAAGACAATCATAACAAAAAACATGGTACACAGGAGAAGGAGCACTGTAAGTTTTGTTTTTCATTTTTTTGAAATCAGGAAACATTTGAAGTTTGTATCACAGATGAATTTTAACAATCCTTATGACTCTTTAGATGATTACAAGAACTAATTCTGTCAGATGGTACATAATGTTATTGTGTAGTCCTGACAAATTGCATATTGAGTTTTAAGTCACCTTTCTATGTCTCTTATATTAAACTAATAGTACTTATTTTCATGTAAATAGTGAATTCTGTTCTGACAAGGATCACAATCCGTTATTAGTTTGACATGGTCTAGTCTGAAGGTTTTCTTTTGTTGAATGTTCTGTATAATTATTCGAGAAAGTCATACATCCTTGTTTATGTAGCTAACCTAAATAAAAATATTGGTTCTTGTGGAACAGGTTTCCTTCTAAGTATCTCATATTTTTGCATAATTCGATCTCTCCCAATGGACCATATTTTTTCCAACAGCGCGCCAAACAAAGTGAAAGGACATGGGGATTAGTTACTGATAAAAAAATGGACAATTACTAAAACACCCTTAAGTCCATAGAGTTAATTTGTTTGTTGCCTCTCTTAGCAAAAACCAGAAGCAAAAATAACATGGGTTCTTTCCAATCATTACAACAAAGCTTCATTAGAATAAGACGTAAGCTGACTTAAATTTGTACTTCTTCAAAGACTGATATATGACATTATGACTTGTCTTAAATTTGTAACAATAGGAACTTGATCATAGCTTAGTTAATTGAGGGTGTGGAGTTAAGACTACCTAGGGTTTGATTCCTCATCAAGGAGAAATTGGATGCCCTATTTCTTGTTTGGAAAATGCTTCGAGTACAAAAACTTGAATACAACACGATTACAACAATGCATCTAAGCCATTCAATGCATTTGATAGCTTTCTATCTAATTGATCTTTGATCACTAGATCTTGAGTAGTACCGAAGTTCTACTCAAATTAATGGTTGTATGAGTAAGAGACCTTGGTAGAAAATGATCTTTTTAAGTAAGGAAATGCTTTGAGTACAGCTAGAGTATAGCATATAAACAATTCAATGTAGTTTTCATCAAGTGACCTTTAACTGTTGAATCTTAAGTCAAGTCCGCCTCATATGGTTTTACATGAGTCCTCTTCTTGTTAATATATAAAGGCGTCTAGTTCCTTCTTCTTTTTTGATAATGCATCTAGTTCCTTCTTGATTAGGTTAGTTTCTGCTTTCAAGTTTGCGAAGACAGTTTAAAAAGTGGAAGTTCGGTGGTTTACCTTAACTTCGTAATGATTATTTATTTATATGTGTTTAATGGGAAAGCCTGACTTGACTTGTCTTGAATATGTAATGATTATGATTATATATATAATTATATAAAGTCAGAGAGAGAAAATCTTAATTTTGTACTGTTTTTATGCGGATTTTTTATAAAAAAATTGACTTTTCTTCTTAAGGCTGAGGTGCAACCACAAACCTCATGGAAACAGGTGACAATTTACTGATAATATGAACTAATATGTGAGCATCTGAAATAGATTGGCATATAATTATTATAGAATATAATAAAAGATTACATCAGAAATGAATTAGTTTTGCTGGGCGGGACAGCCAAAGATTTTTCATTTAGCTAGATTGTGCATTTCCAATTAGTTTTGCTGGGTGGGACAGCTAGTTATTGGTTGCTCTGCCTATGCAGAAATGAATTTGTTTTTGAAAAGCTTAGTTCTACTGGGTTTGTCAACTACTTGTTGGTCGCTTTAGCTAGCAAAATATATTTGGTTTTTTGGAAAGAAACATTCTTTTTCACTTATGCAAATTTACATTCAGTTATCCATTGGCTTCGTTCTTGGGCTATCCTCCATAGGCATGCCAAGCTTCTAGGATTTGGTTGAAACAACCTTGCAACAATTGATGTACGTGGTCAAGGTGTTCTTCTCTAAGGTAGGTGCTAGGCTTTTTATTCTTTCTTTTAGGCTGCGTACTTATTTGCAGACATGGGTTTTAGATTAATTATTATATTAACTCGATGTAATCACCTTGGGTTAACAAAATAATCCTTCCTTCATGAAAAAGAACTTTGTTGGCTTAGTATAGATTACATAATTGTGATCCTGATCTGCTTGAAATTTCTAATGATCATGTATGGTGGAGAAATTTACTCATTGTTACCTAAAGAGTGGAAATCTGTTACGTCTAGTGTCTCATGTTGGAAAACCGGGACTTTAGCCCCTTTTCTGCACTAGTGTCTCATGTTTTTAATGATTATTTAGAGTGAAGAAAATATGACTTTTCCTGAATTTTTAATTATAGTTTAGATAGTGAAAATCAGACGTTCTGATTCGTAATGATTACCTAGAGAATAGGATAATGTGACATTCTTAAATGCTACCAATGTTTTAAATGATTCTTCGTGCTTATTCATATATATAGAGTGAAGAAATCTGACTTGTGCTCTGGTGAAGTGCAGCCAGACACCTCACACAAACATATATATTCACATATCAATCGAAGATTAATTTCTCTGGCCCACTTAGTTACACGTGTCGTGCCCAATGTCTTAAGCTCATGAGTCCACTTCTATTCTCTCTCTATCAAAGAAAGAATGTGACGACGCAAAAAGAGATAGACACTTGACAGGACAGTGATTGAAATAAAACTTTTACGAGAATGGCTCAAACGGTTTTCGAATTTGCAGGAATCGTGTAAGTGTTTCTCGGAGGCTCTTGATAAATAAAGTTGTTATATTCCCTGGTGTGAAATGTATGTACCTCTCTCTGCAGAGCCTCGTCGAGCTCCTTCTTGTCTTCGACCGTGACGACGTCCTTGGCACTCAGCTGCGTGAGACAATTCCGGATCCTGCAACGACAAGATCAACATTTTTTTTGTTCCGGAAATCGAAAGGGATTTTGGACGCAGATATGATTGCAGAATGAGAGAGAGAGAGAGTCATATATATACGGTACCGTACCTGGCGTTTTTCTGCAGGAGCGACCTCCTGGCGGACTGCGTGGGGTGCGCGGTGAAGACGAGGTCGACGCTCTGGTTCTTGAGCGCCTCGAACACCTCCTCGGGGCTCTTGCCGAGCGACACGAGGCGCTTGAGCGTCTCCTCGATGTCGGACTCGGTGGTGGCGGAGCCCTCGTCGGAGAAGTCCCCGTGCTTGAGCTTGCTGTTCCGGCGGCGGTGCGCCAGCTCCACTTCCTCGGCCAGGTTGGAGAGGTTGAGCATGTGCAGGATGGAGCTCGCCACCAGGATGGCGTCGGCGGGCGCCAGCCCCGTGAGCTTGGTGCCCAGCTCGCCCAGCTTCGACGTGTCTTTCTTGCCCTCGTAGTCAGCTGAAACCTCGTAGCACTCCTGGACCTGCATGCATGCATTTGATGAGCTCTAGATACAGGCGAACTGAACGGCAATCAAAGAACATCTGGGTGGTGATTGGTTTGATGGGCTCTACGTACAAATTCGCGAAGGCTGGGGCCGTGGAGGTCCTGGAGGATGTCGAGGAAACGGTTGACGAGCAGGGCGTCGTACTGGATGAGCTCCTCGGAGACCTTGCCGGGGGCCAGGGCACGGAGCTGCGCGTCGATGGAGTGGTGCCGCTCGGACGCCATGGCGGGCGCGGCGGCGGGGAGCGGCCGGAAGCGCGAAGCTGAGATGGTTGGATCAGCGGCGCGGCGTGTTGCTCGTGCTGTTGCTCTGCTGCGAGTTGATCAATGCAGTGCGCGGGCCGGTGGCTTCAAATAGGGATGGGGAGTTGGCGAGTGTGTGGTCGGTGTGCATGGGATTGTGCGGCCCTTGGCGTCTGGAAAGGCGCGGCTGGCTTTGGGCATGCATGTGATCGGCGGAAGGTAACGGTAGCCGAGAGCTGCGGCTGTGGCTATGCTCCTTTTGGCTTGGCTCGCTGCTGTGGACGTACTTTGTCACTGCTCACCTGCCTGCTTGTGTTATTCCGCTGCTTGCAGGATGTGGAGAGTGGCGTCTGCTAGCGGTAACCGCAAGGGGGACCGGGAGAGCTGCGGCCGCGGCTTGCTTCTTGCTCCTTTTGGCTTGGCTCGCTGCTGTTGACGTACTTTGTCACTGCTCACCTGCCTTCTTGTGTTATTCCGTTGGCTGATGGGTCTGTTTGCAGTCAAGGCTGGATTTGGGGGATCGCAAGAGTTTGGAGGAATGCTTGCACGCGATGTATGTGGAGGAGAGGGAGTCAGTTAGCCAATGTTACGAACTTGTGGTTAAGAAGATGGACTATATAATACATGGCTGCCGTAGGGATAAGGGTTATACATGGCTGCCGTAGCGATAAGGGTGTTACTCTACCAAGGGCAGCATACAGGTGGCTGCACGCATTCAGGCGCTGCCAAAATCCAGCGCGCACATGCGGTCAAGCCGACACAGATTTGGACAATACGATGTGTAGCTGGTGGTGGTGAATATATGCGGATTTAAGAGAGGTGGATTTGGGTTGGGAGGAGGAACTTGCATCGTCGCGGATCTCCACACAAAAAGAAGAATTAGAAATCTAACTAAATGCTTAAATGTACATATTTACAGAATTATATATGGCTCGATGCATTAGTTATCACAATGCTAGGTAATTGAGCATGGAAAAAGCATCTAATTTTGACCTTGCATTTAGTACCACACCACATCTCCTAACACCTTATATCTCTAGATCTATCCTCAGCTTGCTATCAACATGCATGTGTGCATTAGATCAAGCAGGTCGAGATCTGGATCAGCCATGGCAAGATAGAATTCCCAATTTCCCATATATGCAAATAATAGCACTACAAATGTTCACTTTCAAAAACAGTAGTTGTCACGTATGAGTGTAAGTGCATCAATCCAATCAGTGAGTTTAGGTGAATAGATGACCACGCATATAAAGAGGGTAATGATGTTTCATGATATTTTCAGTTATACATTCTTGTGAAAAGTGCAAAAAGAAACATGGGACCCCTCAATTCTTACTTTAAAGAAAGATGTGGCATTGCGTTTCAAAGAAACATGGAAAAAGCATTGAATTTCGACCTTGCATTTAGTAGCACACCACATATAACACCCTACAATTTGCATCACTTTTAAATAGGTGAATTGGATTTATTTATGCATTAGTGGGCGCATGCAACATAGAAAAATAATAAATTTTATCAAATTAAAATCAAATATAAGGTTTACCTACATGTCTATGCATTCATGCTGCTGCATATTATTTTTGTATTGTGTGGTTTGAAATCAAACTTTAAGTTGATTTGAATTTGTATTTCACAATTGGTTTGGAAAAAGAGAAATGATTTTTCTCCCTCCCTTGCTTTCGGCCTGTTGGCCCAGCTCCTGCCAGCCCAGCTTCGCCCGCGCGGCCTGCTCTCTCTCGCAGTGGCCTAGTTTCCCGCCATGCCGCGCCGTTCCTGTCCTGCGCCCTGTGACACTGACGAGCCGGTCCCACATGTCAGCCGCATCGTCTCCTTCCTCCTGCGCGTGTCCGGCACGGACACTGCCGCAATCGCCCGACTCCGCGCCGTCCCGGAGTCCGCGCTGCCCACGCCTCTTTCCTTGCCTTGCTACCCACGCTGCTCCACCCTCATAAATAGCGCCCATGCCGTGCCGCCCTCGCTTGTGCTCCACACCAACGCCAAACCCTAGCAGCTCGAGTCGTCGCCGTGACCGTTCGCCATCCCACGCCGCAGCGTCGTCGTTGGTCCGTTTCCGCCTCCATTTTTGGTCTTGGTGAGTTCGCCGTCATCTCTCTCTCTCCCGTGCCTTGGTTTGTTTCCTCGTGGACCATAGGTCATAAATCACTTGCGCCGCCTGCCTCGGCCATGGCGCCGCCGCGGAGCTCACCACCGACCTCGTCAGCTGTTTCCCTTCCTCCGATCTAATCTGCGCCGTTCAATCATGATCCAACGGATCAAATCTAACCATACCCTTCGCTCTGTAGTTTTGCAAAAGGCCCTTATAAATATTTGCATCTCAACCCACCGTCCCTCGCACCTTGCCTAAGAGACCCCCGCTTTCTAGAATATTTCGTCCATGCAGTCCCCGGTTCGGTTGAAAATCCGATTTTATTAATTTAAATTCTAAAATCAAGTTCCATCTATTTACAGTTTTGCCACTAATCTTGTTTCAGCCTTAAAATCTTCGTTTTAACTACGATTTGATCCGTTCAAATTGCGTTAGGTTCGTAATTGAGTAATCTACATATTCATAATACTATTAGGCATGTTTTCAACTTTTAAAATTCGAGGTTAGATTTAATCTGTTATTTTACTAGAGATTCTCTAGAATTTAACTTATACCTTGTCTCCTATGGGATATGCATTGGGTAGCTTTGCTAGTGCTCAATTAAACTATGATCTTGTAACTTGACTAATGGTATATACAATAAATATTAAAATATGACTTTTTAGCAACTTGGAAACAGGGGGCTGGAGTATTTAGCTACTTTCTAAATGCTTCAGATTCCTCTCCCTAAGGACTTATCTGTAAGTGAACATCCGGGACTTACAGTATAGCTACGAGGGATACATCACTACTACATAAACTTTACTGGAGGTGGGCGATTTGGGTTTCCCGCGGCGGGCAAAGCCGTCCGCCGCGGCCTAGAGGCCACGGTAAATCGTGGCTTAACCACGGCGGGCGGCTTTGCCCGCCGCGGTTAACCGATTTACCGCGGCGGGCGGTGTAACGTGCCCGCTGCGGTAAATATACTTTTACCACGGCGGGCACGTTACACCAACCGCCGCGGTAAATTGTTTTACGGCGGCGGACACCTTTTGTGGCCTGCCGTGTTTATATTGATTAGCCGTGGCGGGCTTTATTATTTGCCCGCCTCGGTAAATTATTTTCTAAATTAAAAAAATACAGCAGGCATATAAATTCAAATAAAATACAGCAGGCATATAAATTCAAATCGCATCCATATTTCACAGATTAAACTTCAAATATATATACATTCACTTAGTCGTTCTTGTCATCGTTAATTCATTACATTTACATATTAAAGTCGTTATACACGCGTTAAGGTGCAATCCTGCGGACGCATCATCGTGGGCCATTTCCTCAGCCTCTCGTACTCCGGTAACATCGCTAGCGGGTTGTTCTCATGGAAGAACGTGTCCCCTTCAAGCACGCATTTGTCTAAGACAAACTTACATATGTCCGCCTTTGTCTGTTCGAAGCTGTGTTGGATGCTCTGCATGTCTCTCGACCAGTTCAATCCAGTCTTGAGCACCCTCCAACTGCTGCTGTACTGCTTGCACACCCTCAGGAACTCACAGGCGTAGAAGCCACAGGTTTGTGATCATACCAGTTGTTTGGCACACTGCATGATCGATACGCAAGCATTACAACACAGGCATTAGAACGCATATGAATGGAAAGCACAATTAAACCTTTCAAATACTTACCGGAAAGTTACGTCTGATTTTGATGCGGTTCTTATGCTTAGCCTTAAAATTCTCTATTCTTCGATCATAACATTCAAGATCTTTCACGTACTCCTTATAAGCGCTATATACGAAATGTACTAGTATTAGATAGGGCATTATAACGCATATGAGAAGACAGTTCAGTCACTTACACTTTGAGGCAATCTTCAAAGGCCTTGTACCCTTTTAAAATTCATTTTTTCCATTAAAATTGATCTAGATCTAGATCTAGATCTAGAGAGAACTCTAGGTGATGGAAATAGAGAGAGGATGGAAGGAGAGAGGGACAACCTTTGTGAACCTCTTATGATGTCCTCCTCCCTCAAATCTAAGCCTTTCAACTCAAATCAAAAGTTTTCTCAAATTTTAGGGCAAAGCCTCCCCCATGAGTTTGAGAGAGGAAGACCCATGGAGAAGACGAAGGGGTGGTGCTGTGTATTTGTACAGGCTTTACCGCGGCGGGCAAGATAAAGCGCCTGCCTCGGTAAATCAACTCTTTACCACAGCGGGCAGTTTAAATAGCCTGCCACGGTAAATCGTATTAACCGCGGCGGGCGATTCAAACCGCCCGCCGCGGTAAATAACGATTTCCTACGGCGGGCAAGTAAGGTGGCCCGCCGCGGTAAACCATTTTCCCGCAGCGGGCGCCTCGGTGGCCGGCCACCGGTTAACCGTGGTGGGCAAAAGAGGTGCCCGCCATGGAGCCCATTTTGGCCACGCTGCGCAAATTGATTCCTGTAGTAGTGCATGGCTCTGGCTTTAGCTTAGTATGAGGACATTTTCTAGCTTGTTAGCAGTTACCTTTATTAGCGTAAGAATGGCTTGATGAATCGGGTATAGGACAACCTCTACTCTTATGTGTATAGCCGTGATAGAATTGTTCCATTCGACAGGGGGTTCCTATATCTGTTTGCCGAGTGAATCTAATAACCCTAACTTGTTAGACGAACGTTTGAAAGGCTTCATAGTGACCTCTACCTGCTCACCATGGAAGTGCTTTGGGAGTAATTAACTCGGGCATATGGGTATCATGACTCATAATGAAAGTGTACAACCTCTGCAGAGTGTAAAACTAGTATATCAGTCGTGCTCATGGTCATGAGCGGCCTTGAACCCTTATGAAATAGATAATCACTAAGAATTATCTGTTTATGCTATTAATTATTCTTGTTTACATTGATCATGTG